CTCTTTGTAAAACTTAATCTAAGGTACTTTTATTTCTCCTGTTTGTTGTTAGGTGTCATCGCGTTGACTACAATTCGTAATCACCCTATGAACAAAAGATCGGAACTTTGCCCTATCCTGGCATTATCCTCACTGTCAGGCACTATGTCAACCCATCTTATTGAGGGTCATTTTCTCTTTCACCCTTCATTTTTCCCAACATGATGCTTTTTTCAAAGAACTAGTTCTTCCTGACAACATGCCCCAAGTATGACAGATGATGTTTTACCATCCTTGTCTCTAAGAAGTATCCAAGTTGCACCTTCTCTCACAAGTCTGTCCTTTGGCAGTCTTTGGGACTTTCAATACTCTTCCAACATAAAAAATTGAAAGGCATTCAAGTCTTCTTTGATCTCCCTCATTCACAGTCCAACTTTCAGATGCAGAGGAGATAACTGAGAATACCACGACTTTGCTCTTAAACTGACAACTCTGCTCGTTAGAACTTTGATGAGGTCCTAGACAGCAGACTTCCCCAGTGTAACACATCTTTTGATTTCTTAATTGCTATTCTGATGAGTGCTGATTGTGGATCCAACAAAATTGTTGATAACTTAAATCTTTTCTCCATCAATCATGTTGTGTAACAGTCCAGTGGGTAGGATTTTTGTCTTCTAGGTGTTGAGATATAATCCACACTAAATGCTGTAGTCCTTGATCTTCTGCAGCAAATGCTTCAAGTTCTCTTCATCTTTACTTTCTGCAAGCAAACTTGTGACATCTGTATAATGCAGGTTGTTGGAATCTTCCTCCATTCCTGATGTCACATTCTTCATATAGTGCAGCTTCTGAAATTATTTGCTCAGCACATAGGCTAGATGGGTATGGAAAAATGATACCACTTTGATACACACTTTTCCTGATTTAAACCATGCAATGTTTCTGTTTGGACAACCACTTCTTGACCTATGTTTCACATGAACACAACCAAGAGTTTTGGGATTCCCATTCTTTTCAATGTTAGTTGTAATTTGTTATGATGTATTCTGGGATTCTCATTCTTTTCAATGTTAGTTGTAATTTGTTATGATCCACACAGTCAAATGCCTTTGCAGAGTCAACAAAACACAACTAAACATCTTTCTGGTACTGTCTACTTTTAGCCAAGATCCATCTAACATCAGTAGTGATACTGCTCTTTTTGGTAGCTTCTTTGGAATTCTGCTTGAATTTCTGGAAGTTCTTTGTTGATGCACTGTCCTGGTCTATAAAATTCTTTTTTTGTTGTTGTTTGTTTTGTTTTTAAATCTTTCTTTTCCTCTAATGGCATTCAACTTTAGTTGGTCCCAAAAGTCTGTGAATAATCTCCAGCCTCTGGGTGTAGGGGGAAAGGAAACAGAATAAAAAGAAAGGTTGGGCTTGAAGCCAGGATAAAGATGAACTTAGGATAGACTGACTTGTAGGAAGAGCTGATAAATAAATGATTAATCGAGAATATTAATGAATAGACTGGTCTATCTTCTGAACATAGAGAAATCTCAATTTATCTCTAACCCTCCCCCAAAGTTGAATATGGTGCAAATGCAGAAAGATCAACGGCATTTCCTGTCTGTCAGATGCTAAAGAACGTAATAGGCTTATTCCTTGCTGGAAGCAATGCTTTGCTTGTCTTTCTATATTGTGTCACCTATAATATCTTCCACAGCCCAACCTCAAGTCACAAAATGCTCTCAGGAAAGCACTGCAGTGAACACAAGGAGATTTGTAAAACCAAAGCTGTTCACACAGTAACAAGAAGTGAGGACTTTTCTTCTTCCCTGTCCAATTATTAAAATACCTACAAAACCGAATCTTCCAAAGACCAACAAATTGCTGACAAAGGACAGCAAACCAATCACCGCCATCTCCCTAAAGGCTTCCTTACTACTTCTTGAGAGTCCTGCTGAAATTGACTAAGTGCAGTGTGGAACTTCAGGAACTTTTTGGCTAGCTTCCCTGAGAGGCTGACTAATTTTATTCTCCAAGGACATGTCTCCCTCACAACATTTACAAGAATTTGTTAGTAAATATATCTTGTTGGGCTGTTTATTTTTTAAACTGTCTTTCCCACTTTTCATCTATTCTTTAAAAAATGTTTATTGAGCATCTATTATGTGTTAGATACTGTGCCAAGATGTGGAAACTCAGAAGTAAACAACAACAAAAATTCCTGCTCTCATGGCACTTATTTTCTAACTGAGAAGCAGACAATAAATTATCTCAGTATTAAGTGCTATAATGAAAAAGAAAGCCAGAAAAGGAGATAGAGGGTGAAAGGGGAGTGGTGCATGTGATTTTAAATAGGGCAGCTAAAGAAGTCCTCTCTTGAGGAAGTGGCATTTCAGCAAAGACCTAGGAGGTTAAGAAGTGAGCAGAAATATAGGGAAGAGGATTCCAAAGAAGAGCGAGTATGAAGTCCTGAAGGAAGGGTGTGCTTGGAGGCTCAGATGCCCTCACTGACTGGTGCAGTCTCACAAGGGGAAGAGTAATGGAAGATGGGGTCAATACCGAAACAGGCAGTCAGATCATGCTGGTCTTGTAGGACACAGTAAAAGCTTTGTATTTGGAACCAGAGGAAAGCTACTTATGAACATTAAATTAAGGCATGACAAAGTTAGACACATTGTTGAAATCAGACTAGCAAAGTAGGGTAGAAGCTTGCAGACCTCATATGAGGTTGAAGACTGCTTTAAACTATGAAAGCTGTTGTACAGTAATGGGAGCAGTCAGATCCTAGGAACACTGTGAAGGCAGAGCCAACACCACGTGCTGGTAGACTTGATGTGTGGTGCATAAAGGGAGGAGTCAAGGGCAACTTCAAGGTGTATGGCCTGACAAACTGAGTATGGCACTGAAATTACCTAAAATGGTCAAGATTGAGGTTTTGGGGGAGGACTGGGAGTTCTGTTTTGGAGACTTTTTGTTTGAAAGTTCATTTTACATGTAAGTGGAGAGGCTAAGTAGGCATTTGGATAATATGAGTCTGCAGTTCAGGGGAGAGATCTAGGCCAAAGATAGACATTTGGGATTCATTAATGCAAGAAGGTATCTAATGTCATGGGCTTGAATGAGATCATCAAGAAAGTGGGGTTAACCAGAGAAAGAGAAAGTGTCTCAGAACCCTGGGGCACTGTGCTATTTAAAGAGCTGAGCAAAAGTGCAAGAGAGCCTGAAACTAACCAGCAAAGGAGCCAGAGAGGGAACAACAAGTTTATGAGCTAGGAAGAAAACCAGGGACCAAGGGAGAAAAATAGTTCAACTGTGTGGAGACTTCTCAGACTTGAGGTTATTCTCGGGCGGGCAGGGGCCACACTGGTACCCAGACAACAACAGTCTGCCACATAGGAGGTGTCCAGACATGTGCAGAAGGGCTGCACAGAGATCCTTTACTCTGACTTCTCAGCAGACAATTTCTAAGGCACTTACTGCTCTAATACTCTGTCTCTTTAATACAGAGTTCTTTCACTATACTGTCTCCCCTAAAATCTACATTTTTATAGGATGGTAAGGAGAAATAGTTTGTATAATGCTTAACTAGCATATTAGTATTTAAGCTTCACATTCATTCCATACCTCTCCTCTTTCGGAATAATTCTAATTTAACCATGAAAAAGTTCTGGTTTTTAATAATGGCCTTAATTAATTCTCAAAGCAGACATTATATATACTCTGAGTGGCACTCTGTGGATAGTGAATGCTGTTGGGCCTGCCGTTATCAAGGCACTGTATTAGTCACATAATACAACTCACAGAGAGATAGTGAAACAATAAAAAAGCCATACATTGTTTTTTAGGACTTGAAGTCTTAAATGAAGTTGTGTGATCCTATGTAAACTGGCCTATAAAATAATTCCATGACAAGGCCAGAACCTAAAATGCTTCTCCATTTTTTGTTACATACACTCTTTAAAACCCTAGAAACACTATTAAAATTGAAGACTATTATATAATTAATATTTTTAAAGCAAACACAATGACTTCTCATTCATCAATCAAGGCTCTGCTCAAACATGGGGAAAGAAAGCTTTAACTTTGTTCCTAGTCAGACACAACTGTCACTCTCTGAGCTCCACTAAGATGGCACTAGTGTTTCTGTAAGTTTGTATTTTCATACTGTTGTTGATGTTAGCACCTTTTAAAATAGTAAGAATTTTCAGGGCACAGGTACTATCTTATTCATTTTCTAATCCTGATCTGCACCTAGCACAGTGCTTTGTACATAACAGGATTTTAGTAAGCACTTATAGGATGCAATAAAAGGTTTAATTTACATCCATGTGGATTAGATTCAGCACCCTGTACAATCATGTGTATCTTATATTCACACTTTATAGAAAGAGTACAGCCTTGTTACTTTATTAGATTATAAGTGTTAAATACAAAATTTTGCTTTAACTGCTAATGATGCTGAGATTTTATGGTAGCATATTGTATTTGTAATCAATGTGATTCTAGCATGTAGCATTTTTATACCACATGGCCCAATACTAAGAAGCTATATTGCACCCCAAAAGGCAAGCAGTTTGAATCCCCTGGATGCCCTGTGGTGAAGCATGGGTAATCTCCCTCATGACTTACTGCTTCTAATGACTGTTGAAAGGGTAGCAGTAAGTCAGTTCTGACTCGACCGCACGTAACAACCAAAATTTTGTTGGTGAGGAATCAAGTATTGACAAATATAAGTTCACATTTAACTCTTTTGTTCTACATCAAGGGAATTTTAAATATGAAATAATAATTTTGCTATTAAAGTAGACATTTTAATCTTAAGGTTTTATTGTTGTCAATTCTATTTTATAGAATTTTAAAATTCTCATGCTTAAGAAAACAGACTTTCTACCTTCCTAAATTTTTATTACTACTTCTGAAAAGAGTAGCTGTTATAATTTTTGAAAATCACTATAAAGATTAAAGAAAAAGAAAAAAGTGTCTCCTTCTCAATCCCTAGAAGAAACAGAGCCTGACATTATGTTGGTACTGACCTGCGAACGAATTTGGATGTTATTTTGCTGATTATACCAGTTGATGTCCCCCTTCTGGCGTGTGAAAATGCCCCCGTTTCATGAGATGGTGAAGCAGGTGGCCCATTGTAAGCAGCGCTACGACGCTCCCGGAGCTGTTCGCCATGGAAAGTGCTTCGGCTTGAACTCCCTCGGGGAAAGCGGGTTCGGTCTGGAGTGGTGGCACTAATACTGTGAGCAGATGGGGAGGCAGCAGGCACTCTCTGGGTTGTACTTCAGGGATAAACGAAGAGATCTTATTTAGAGTAATGACAGAGAAATCTTCCCCTCATGCTAAACTAGTAAAAAAATTGCTATGGCTACTTCTATTCAATTCTGTTTTATTGTTTCTCATTAGGGATGTGATGCTTAGGCTAACTAGATAACCAGAGAGAAATGTCATTTCCATTTAAAATTGTAATGTATAAAAACTTGGTGACCAGACGAAGACAAGACTGAAGAGGGGACATGAAGCTAGATACTTTTTCACTCTCAGAGATGCCAAACCAGGGCTGCTTATATACAATCTCATTATTTCATCTATTTTTTTTCTTTCTTTCACAGCTGGTACTTTTTATCTTATAAGCCAATCTTCTATTTAGACAAAAAGATGACCTCATGGAATAGTTTCAATTCAAGATTTAAAGACTATCTATCTCAGGGTAACAGTCTTGGGGAATCCTCCAGCCTCAACTCATCAAGTCTGACTTCTTAAAAAGTTGAATTCTGTTCCACATTTTTCTCTCATTTTATCAGGACCCATTTATTGTGTTCCTGATCACATCTGTCACTAGTGGTTGAGACGATGGTTTGTATAGACTACTAGTTATATCTATAAATATAGGTAAACGCATATAGTCATATACATAACAACAACTAGTTCTATACAGTATTTTCTCCTCTGAGTCTTGGGTTCCTTCTATCTCTTTTACTCCAGATGACAGAGACCAATAATTGTGTCCTTCGTAGTTACCAAACTATGTATGTTTTAAGATCTACAAAGTTTTAAGACTCCAGACATTATTCATCAAACTGGGATATAGAAAATAAATTTTAAGTACTACATCATGAAGTGTGGTTGAGTTGTTCCATAAGCCCATGGTCCTAAACCTCCACACCTACAAAATAGCCCTGAGATTTCTGGTGAGGTCTAAGATGTACTTGTGTGTGTGTTCTCTGTTTTTCTGAAGAGTTCTGGTTGAATGCCTGGCTGCTAATTAACATGTCAGCAGTCTGAACTCACAAGCTGATCCACGGCAAAAAGATGTTTTACAATATGCTTCTGTAAAGACTATCATATTGGAAACTCTATGTGGCAGTTCTATCCTGCCCTATAGGGCCACTATAAGTCAGAATTGATTCAATGATGATGGTTTTTAGGTGCTTTATTATGTGATTATATGTGCATGCATATATAAAATAATTACTGCTGTATACTGTTGAGTTGCTTCTGACTCATAATTGAATCTTCCAGTGGGTTTTCTGAAGCAATAAACTGCATCAGAGGAAACGGCCCATTTTTCTCCCATGGAGCAGCTGGTGGATTTGAACCTCTATCTTTGGGGGTTGGGAGTGCAATTCTGTACCATTAAACAACCAGTGCCGTATGTGTGTGTGTGTGTGTCTGTCTGTGTGTATTTTTTCATACATATATACACACACAAATCAAACTCACTTTTGCCGATTCTGATTCACGGAAACCCAAGCCTTCACTGGGCTTTTAAGACTATAAATCTTAATGGGAGGAGAATCTATCATCTTTCTCTTGGTGTTTAGCAGCTTAACACTTAACTTGGTAAGCCACCAGGACATCTCCATATGGATACATAGGCATACTTACACATTTATACACTTGTGTGCAGACATACATACATACACACACACACACGTAACCACACACATACATTTCCAGTATTGCTGTTGTATGTTCTCCCTATTTTCTTAACTTATATTACTCAGTAATATGGTGGAACTTAATAAACATGAATTTTACTGTTTAGAAAATTAATTCTGAATAATTTCCCATGCATACTTAGGGCTCAGTGATAGCACAATGCTATATGAAGAACCTAACTACCAAAGGCTTAGAATGTTCAGATGTTCATAAGTGTGAGAAAATAAAAATAGACAAAAACTACTATATAATTTTAATTTTATACTTAAAAAGGGCCTCTGAGATTATCTGTGTCATCGATTGACTAAAACCTTGTTAAAGTAAGAATAAGTGTGGTGTTAGCCTAAAAGTTGGCTTTTTTTAAGACACGGGTTAGCCCCTCTGGTCTCTAGCTACTTGAAGGAACATGGTCTTGCAGATCAGCATAGGTTTGTTAGTCATCAACAGATGAAGCAGCAATATAAAGCATGATTCTCACACTGTGTAGGAAGATTTGGAACGGCAAAACCTAAGATGAGTAAGGCTTGTGGCACCCAGATCCTAGTGGTGGAGAGACTGACAATGCTATGGAGAAACTGTTTCAAGGTGTGACCTGAGATTTCTTGCTTTTGTGCTGACCACAGTTAAAAGATATTGCTGTTCTTGGCCTTTGATGATGAAAGAAAAGGCTGCTTGCTGAATTGAAACTGGAGCCTGGCTGAGTTTTAGAACTGTTGGGCTAAAACCTGGACTTGCTTGGGTGATATTCTTTGCTTCCCTCACTCTCCAACTTCTTTCTCTAATAAACCCCATTTTTGGTACCATAACTGTGAGTCTGTTAGTCAGCAATGAATAAATGAACCTCTTGCTGCTGGGATGGCTCTAGAGGCATTATGGGGTGGGGTTATGGGCTCTTTATATGCTTTCTCTGCTCTGAGGCTTTGAGGGGCTGTGCTATTCTTACTCTCTGGTCCTTTGAGAGAGGTGGTCATGACTCTGTATCTATGGACCGTTTCCCTCTATTCAGACAATAAGTAACTGGCAAAAGCCAGGACAATCACCCTGACAGTTCAATTTCAAGTTTAGTGTTGATCTTTATTTTAAGTCATTAAAATCTCAATTTACCTACATAAATCAGGTAGCAATACCTTACTTTTTAGATGGATTTAGAGTAAGATCTTCAAAGAAAATTCCTCTTAAAAATGGTTTAGATTTTAAATATTTTTTTTATAAAAGTCAAAGCACAGTTAAGCTTCTGATTTTCTTCTGACAGAAACAATTTTTTTTAGAAAGCATTTAATATGATGAGAACTATTATTCATCTTCAGTTGGTGTTATATTCATTAAAAAACCAAACCCCAATAGAAATTAAGTGACACCAGTACGTTACCTGGGTCGGTAAGCTTCAGAGCCATCTTTAATGGTTGGCAGTGTGACTTTAATAGGGTGACCAGAGGCAGACATGGACTTCTGGTGGCGAGGCCGTGCTGAGGGCAGAGCAGAAGCCACAGTGGCGCCTGTAGAAGACATGCTGCTCACAGACATCTCCGTGAGGCTTTCAATGCGCAACAGTGGAGAAGATCACAGGAATGTAAAAAGGAAGAAAAAGTATGGGTGACTGAAATATAAGAACGTGATATAAAAACACACTTTTCATGACTGAAACGTGAAAGAAATACAGTTACTAATCACTATTGAAACAATGTTCTCGTTCCAGTGATTTAAGTCTGTTAAAAGTGGAAATCACTATCTTCTGTGTTGAATTTATCACTAACATCCACAAAAAAGACTCATGAAACATTGCTCTGTATGTGTGAATCGTAGAAGGTATGAAATAATTTTTGTGGCTAGATGTTAGTTCCAGATAAAATTATTAAGAATGGAGACACTTTTTTCACTTCCCTTCAAATAAATTTGGTATGATATAAGAATTCATAATTATTCTATTGGTATAGTTTCTTGAAAACAGGATCAAAGCATTGTTAACTTATTTCATTCACTGGTCAACTTACTGATTGACAACTGAAGGTAAGAATTTAGTTAATAGAAATTAAGTCTCAAACTCTAATTCTAAGATAAGGTTTCTTATACCAAGGAAGAGACCATACTTACTTTCTTTGCCTTATGATAAAAGTTACATTAAATGCCTATCACCTTTTGTCCTTTTGTACTATACTCATGCGTGGTATTTCCAACATATAAAAACAACTTTTATAAATGACAAAAATAAATGTGTATTATCATTATTTAAAAGAAAACACCTGGAGAATAGCATGGTTCTGAATGACCAGCTGGTATGGCCACACTTCTTAAGAAGAATAAAAGGGAAACGTCATTATCTAGATGCTCTAATCACGTGATGAGAGGAGGAGAAGGTAGCAGCAGGCACATGCGAGAAGAAGACTCAAACATGTAGAGTCTCAGGACTGCACGATGTGCTATGCTATGGGAAAATATTTACTATCAATTTTTATTCAGAATCTCTTAAGAGATTCACCTCTTATTTTCTCTAAGTATTTTAACACCTCTTCCATCCTGGCAAAGAAGGGATGGTAATCCCTTAAAATATTTGGTAAAAATATCTGGCTGCAATCTTACTATTTCTGTACCTTTTTCTCTTGATTACTCAGCTGCATGACATGTAGCCAGGGCACTAATGTAGAATAGTAACAACATTCTTACCGCTACATGGCGCTAGAGTGCTTTACCTGCTGTCTTTTCCATTCTGCATCACTGTGTATCGATCTGTGGTCCTTTCGCAGACATAAGTGTTCCTTCTTGCCATGCTACCTCCAGAATATACATTGTTCTTTAAGACAGGAGTAAGGAAAAAAAAAAGGAGGTGTTAAATTCTAGCTACATATGTAGAATTTCAAAGAAAAAAATCTGCAGGAAAATTTAATTTATCAGAATTTTGTATTTACCAAGAGCTCTCTCCCAAGTCTATCCTGTCTCATTAAGATTTTAAAGTAAAAGGTAAAGCATAATAAACAAAATAAAAGTTTCATTACTATTTTAGGTTACTATTCTACAGAAGTAGCTACTTATCACTTGGATACAAGTAGAAAGCTGATGTTTAACTGATAATCACTCCTCTGTTAGCTTGTGGTCAGGTGGGCAGAGAAGTCACATAGACAACTTTATGTGACTAAGGAGAAGGGTCAATCTCATTTGCAATGCCATCACAAACAGGAAAATCCATGCATGGAAGATGGTAGACCCATCTTGAAACCAATGGGAACTTTAAAAAGCAAACATCTCCAGGGTCAGAGGTACACCCAAGGACCAGCATGCTCAGTGCCTCTGTTTATCTTGTGGTCTCAGGTTTTTAATTGGGAAGCAAACTAAGTCTGAGGAGTTCTAGGGGGAAAAAAAGAAGACTAAATCAAAAGAAAAGATAGGTGGGTAGGTTCTCTCTTTACTATGGACACAACCATGGATCTAGAAACTATTTATTGGGCCATCCAAAATTTTTACTAGTTACTTTTACAAAGTATATAGTAATGACTTTCAAAAAGGAGTAACATACCCTCTTTGTAATTCTCACTTCACCAGAAAAAAAGTCCCTACTTTACGCCAATTAAGGTTTCAAAAGTCTTTAAATTACATAATTACCTAAAATTTGTTTAATTCTGACAACTAAATTAAACCTGGGGGTGGGGGTAAAGAAAGTTTCATATATAACTAGAATGTCTAATATTACTTATAGTCATCTAAAAGCTGTTAGCAAAGGTAAAAAAAAAAATCAAGCTATTGATAGAGCTATAATCCTCTCAAAACCTATTCAACCTCTATGCTGAGCAAACCAAGTTGTTATGTGCCGCCGGGTTGCCTGAGCCTCATAGCAACACTACGTACAATAGCCCTAAACCCTGCTCTAGCCTGTGCCAATCTTATTGTCTCTGACACACCTCCCCCTATTACCCCAGTCACTATATGAGTCCATCTCACCAAGAGTCTTCCTCTCCTGCACTGTCGCTCCACCCTCCCAAGCATGAGATCCCTCTCCAAGGATTGATCCCTCCTCGCAACATGTCCAAAGTGTGTCAGATGAAGCTTCAGAATCCTTGCCTCCAAGGAGCAGCCTGGTTTCACTCTCTAGGATGAACCTGTTTGTTCTCCTCACGGTCCATGGTATATTCAATATTCTTCACCAGTACCAGAACTCAGAAGCATCAACACTCCTTCTATTATCCCTAATCACTGTCCACCTTTCTGATGCATACCAAGTAATTGCAAAGGCTATGGCCTTGAGCAGGCACACCTTAGTCTCCAGACTGACATCGTCGTTATTCAGTACTTTAGAGAGGTCCCTGACAGCAGGCTTTCCCAATTCAACTCATCTTTTAATTTCCTGGCTGCTGGTACCAAGAGTGTTGATTATGGAGCCAAGCAAACTAAAGCTGTTAACAATCTCAATCTCTTCATCATCTATCATGATGCTGTCAAATCAGCCTGGTGGTGAGAATCTTTGTTTTCTTGATGTTGAGCTTCAATATATATTGAAGTCTGTAGTCCTTGACCTTCTGAAGCAAGTGTTTCAGGTCCTCCTCAGTTCCAGCAAGCGAGGTTGTGTCATTTTCATAATGCAGATTGTTGATGAGTCTTCCTCCAATCCTGATGCCACATTTCACTGACTTATATAAAGAAAAAGGTAAAAGGTGGCGTCAGTTGTTATTAAGTGCTGTAGAGTTGCAGGCAACTCATAGTGACCCCTAACGAAAGTCCTGGACAATTCGTGTATAACTTTCCATCCTTTCTCTAGGTTCATAGGGTTTCCAGAGGCAAGTAGTGGAGGAAAACATAGTAGCAACCTGCATTATGCAGATGATACAACCTTGCCTACTGAAGTGAAGAGGCTCAAAGCAAATACTGCAGAAAATCAGACTACAGCCTTTAATACTGATTACTTAATACCATTAAGAAAGTAAAAATCCTCACTACTGGATCAATAGGTAACATTGTAATAGATGTAGAAAAGACTGAAGTTTTTAACTATTTTATTTGATTCTATAATCAAAATCCATGGCCACAGCAGCTGAGAAAGAAAAGATGTGCGGCTGTGTGGCATTGGGAAAATATGGCATCAAGGACCTTTCCAAAGTGCTAAAGAGCAAGGATATCAGTTTAAAGACTAAGCTAGCCCAAGGCACGGCATTTGCTTCCTATGAATCTTAAAGTTGGACAGTAAATATGAATGACAGGGGAAATCAATGCCATTGAATTGTGATGCCAAAGAGTACTGAATATACTGTGGAACAAAAAAAATCTAGCTTGGAGGAAGTGCAGATGTACTGCTCTTGAGGCAAGGATAATAAAACTTCATCTCATAAACTCTAGGTATGTTAACAGGAGAAGACCATTCTTAGAAAAAGACATTATGCTTGGGAAGGTAGAGCGGTAAGCAAGAGAGGAAGATGCTCAACAAGATGACTGGCATAGTGCTTGTAATGATGGGTGGGAGCATGCCAGAAGACATGGCATAGGATAGGAAAAGGCTCGGTTCTGTTGTTCAGAGTTCTTATGAGTCATAGCAGACCTGGCAACTCTTAACACCACCAAAAACAATAAAGAATAGAAAAAAATTGTGTGGGAACCACATGTCTAACAAGGATCTAATTGCTAAAATATATTAAAATCTTCAATCCTGTAACAAAGACAAGAAATCCAATTTAAAAATGACCAAACATGCGTAGATCCTTCAGTAGAAGACATTCAAATAGCAAACAAATATCTGACAGTCAAATGGTCAACAAAAATAGGAAAAGATGCTTGATATTATTAGTTATTAAAGATACAAATAAAAATACAATTTGATATCATCTCACTACTGCAAAAAGGGCAATACTGAAAAATTAAAACCAAACAAAACCACAAAACCCCAAATACTCACAAACAAACAAATGCTGCCATAGATGGGGGGACATTAGAATTTCTATGTGTTACTGGGAATGTAAAAGTTGTTGCTATGTGCCGTTGAGTCACCTGTGACCCATAGCGGCTCTATGTATAGCAGCTCTGAACCCTGCCCTGTCCTGAGCCAGTCTCACTAACTCCGACACATCAACCCTCATTGCCCCGGTTACTGTATCAATCTAGTTTATCTGGGGTCTTACTGTATGTGCTGTCTGTCCCTCCACCCTTCCAAGCATGATGTCCTTCTCCAAGGACTGGTCTCTCCTGGCCATGTGCCCAAATTATTTGCGATGGAGATTCAAAATCCTAGCCTCCAAGGAAAAACTTGGTTTCTTCATCCTCTCCAAGACAGACCGATTTGTTTTCTTGGCAGTCCATGGTATGTTCAAGACTCTTCTCCAGCACCACAATTCCATGGCATTGATTATTCTTCTGTCATCTTTAGTTACTGTCCAGCTTTCTCACTCATAGCAACTAACTGTGAAGACCATGGCTTGGATTAGGTGCACCTTAGTCTCTACACTGACACTGTTGCTTTACAGCCCTCTGGAGAGGTCCCTGGCAGCAGATTTCCCAATACAATTCGTCTTTTAATTTCCTGGCTGCAGGTGTTAAGAGTATTGACTGTGAAGCTGAGCAAGCTGTGATTGTTAACAACCTCAATCTCTTCTCCATCTATCATGATGTAGCCAATTGGCCCAGTGGTAAGAATCTTTGTCTTCTTGATGTTGAGTTTCAATCCATACTGAATCCATACTGAAGTAAAAAATGGTACTTCTATGAAAGAGAATATGGAACTTCCTCAAAAAGCTAGAAAAGCAGTAATTCCAATCCAGCATTATTTCATGCTAGCAAAATGTGGAAATAATCTAAGTACAATTAACATAGGTGTCTATCTGTGTCTCTTTCATTACATCTTTCGGGTATATCCCTAGGGATAGGCCTGATGGGTCATAAGAGTGAGGTAAATTGAGTTTCTGTGTCTTTTGAATTCACGATCTTCACACCCTGACCTCACTCCCTCCCTAATGACAGTGGCCCTAGATGGCAGCAACAATCAGTCTAAACAACTTAAATTGTATCTAACTTAGATACAATTATATCTAACTTAGATACAATTAATGAAAAGATAAATTACAGAAACAATGTCTCACATATTCCATTTAGCTAGGCTCATCTAGAAAATGATCACTTATATATGATCTTTCCAGTTTAAGTAAGCCAGCTTTTAGGCTGCTAAACAAGTAAGGGTCTTTGTATTTGGAATTTGGAGACTGGGTAGAAGTATATCTTACCAACCTTTGAACTCTAGTCTGGCAACTTCCTTGAAGTCCACAAAGAACAGAACATAGAGTATTTTCCAAGCAATAACAAGAACTCATTGCTGATGAGTCATAACTGACTCTTAGTTGACCCTCCATGATGTTTTCAGGAGGCTGTAAATTACATGGGAGGAGATTGCTCATCTTGCTCCCAGAATAGGCTATAGGAAAAGGGATATCACTGCTGATGCCAGGTAGATCTTGGCTGAAAGCAGAGAACAACAGAAAGATGTTTATCTGTGTTTTCTTGACTATGCAAAGGCATTTGACTATGTGGATCATAACAAATTACAGATGGCATTAAGAAAAATAGGAATCCCAAAATAATTATTTGTGCTTATGCAAAACCTATACCTAGACTAAGAAGCTATTGTCAGAACAGAAAAAGGGAACACTGCATGGTTAATAATCATGAAAGGAGTGTTTGAGGATTGTATCTTTTCTCCATACCTATTCAGTCTGTATGCAGAACAAATAATTCAAGAAACTAAACTTTATGTTATGAAGATGGCACAACCTTGCTTGCTGAAAGTGAAGAAGCCTTGAAATACCTACTGCAGAAGATCAAAAGCTGTATCTCAACATCAAGAAAAAAAAATCCTCACCACTAGACCTATAGGGAAAATCATGCTAGATGGAGAAAAGACTGAAGCTGCCCATGACTTCATTCTATTGGGTTCAACAACTATGGTAACAGTAATCAGGAATTTAAAAGACATGTTGCATTGAGAAAATTTCCTGTCAAAGACCTCTCCAAAGTGCTAATGAGTAATGATGTCAGTTTTGTTTTTTGGGTTTTTTTTTATTATGTCAATTTTAAGACTAAGGTGTACCTGATGCAAGCAATTATCTTTTCAATGACTTGCCCTGCATCTGCAAGTTAGACAATGAATTAGAATGAATGAATAAGAATCAGTGTCTTTGAATTTGGTGGTCAAGAAGAATCCTTAATATCCTATGGACTGCGAAAAGAACAAGCAGGTTGTCTCAGAGGAAGTGCAATTAAGGTTCTCCTTAGAGGCAAGGATGGTAAACATGTCTCACATAGTTTGGACATGTTGCCAGAGGGGCCAGTCCCTCAAAATGGACATCATGCTGGAAACACCTGGGAATGAGAGGAAGATCTCTCAGAGATGGACTGACACAGTTGTAACAACAGGCTGGAGTAGACCAGATTTTGTGAGGATAATGTAGGACAGGCAAGGATCAGGTTTGCTGTTCACAGGGTTTCTGAGTTTCTGTTGAATCGATGGCACCAAACAATAACTACATACAACTATATGTAATTACCGGATAGAAACTTATAAAAGCAAGATACTAAATTTTTCTTTTTTGTACCTAGGTAGTTTAGTGGTAAGAAACTGCTGTACTAACACAAAAGTACACGGTTTGTATCTTCCAGCTGCTTCGTAGGACAAAGATGGGCAATCTCCTTCTGTGTGGTTTACTGCCTCTGAAAACCCACTGAAGGGAGTTGGTTCTGATTCGACAAGACCCAACAACGACAACTACCATCCCACAAAAAGTCCTACATTCTGATACAAATTTAAAGCTCCTATCATTTGTAATCTGTGCTGGTTGTAAGTAGTGAACAAAAAAGCCGGTGATTCAGATAACTATCTGACAAATATCACCAATCATTAATCTACTTACCTAAGTATTCTTCCATTCTTATCTACCAATAAGGCCAATTTGCTATCATGTAATTTAGATGTCAACAGCAATGAGTGAGAACTGAGAAATTACCTATGCCTGTTATAGGTAGTACTTTTTTCAGCAGAAAGTAAGGAGCCAAGTTATGGTGAACAGATTGCCATTCTTCCGACACTTAAACTGATTAGCTATTTTCAATTACACTTCACTTTACTTAAAGATATCATAATCTTTGATAAAAATATATTATACAAACTGTCAATATTTTGTAATTGTTACTGCATTTGAAATGATATATATATACACATTCCTTCTACTTGAGAAATCACTGCAAAGGAAAAGTATTGTTGTTGTATATTTTGGCTTTAAAGTAGTGTTCACACGTGTTTCTGTAATGAGCCAGTGAGGAAGCATTTGAGCTTTGCAGGTCATATGGTAAAATGTCAACAGTTGTCAAAGAAACACCAATTAAAGACCAAAAGGCTACCTCCCCCCTCCCCCCAGGTTAGTTTAACTTTTTTAAATAAAATTTTTATTTTATACTGATTTATTTACAAAGTTAATTTACATTGTTATTCCACGCCTGATGAGCTTGTAGAGAAATAGTAACTCTCTAAATAAACCCATTTGGAAAGTTACCTTGGTAACATTTAGTGAAGATGTAAATGTGCACATTTCAGAGGTGTATAAAGAGCCAAGGATATCTAACACATCAGTTTTGTGCTTCAGGTCAGGGGAGTGTATACATGAAATGCACAGCTGCCAACAAGACTGTGGTGTGGTGGATCTCAACACTCTGATCTAGAAGGACTGTATAATTTTTAAAGTAAAATTAACATAATTATTATCTATTTAGGAATTTGAGGCAACTTATGTACGTTCCTAAGCAGATACTGATTAAAACGGAGTGCCAATTTAAATAAAACTCCATGTATATGTTTTTATTTACAGCTGTGGTGTTGGGGAAGAGTCAAAGACTCACAAAAGAACAGTTATATCTTGGAGAAAGTGCAGCCAGAGTGCTCCTTGGAGGCAAAGATGGCAAAACTTTATCTCACATGTTTGGGGCATGTTGTTAGGTGAAGCTGTTCCTTGGAAAGGGACATTATGCTTGGAAAGGTGGAGAGTCAGCCAGAGTATGATTCTCAACTAGATGGACTGACAGAGTAATTGCTGCATGATGAGGATGATTCACATTAGGCTAGGGTTCCAAACTGTTGTTTGTAGGGTCACTATGAGTCATACTCAACTTTATGGGACATAACAACAATTTCATTCTTATTGCTACTGAGTCAGAATGAGTATTAGCTATATATTGCACTTGTGGAAAAAAGCCCATCTTGTTACTGCTGGTGGATTTGAACCATAAGAGATCTTGGGTTAGCACCATGTCCCTAAGGACTGTTGTTGGTAGGTGTCATCAAGTCAAGTACGGTTCACAGTGACCTAATAAACAATAGTTCCCAACCCTGTCTTATTCTGCATCATCCCCATCTCCTCTGACATACTTGAGCTCATTGCTGCAGTTAGGGATCCCCTGATAAATAAAAGATGGCCATTTTACAAGATTTTACAGAAAATTTTGCTATTACAAGCTATTTACTCACACTTGGAATAGTTGAAGATTTTTTTCTTTCTGGCCCTACCAGAGGGCTTGTAGTCATCTCGCTTTTCGATCCAACTGTTGTGCTGCCAAGTTTACGTGCCACGTCTTTGTCCCATTCCTCTTTCTGTTCACTTTCCACACTGTTAGCCTGTGACCTTTTCGTATATGATACAGCAGGAGGAATGGATGGACCCGCTAAAATTTAAAAAAAGAAAGAAAAAAGGCACAATGAGGTTAAAAACCAATGATATATTTTTTTCACATAAAAAACCCAATCCAAATCTCTGTATTGAAAATATCTGTATTTGCATTTTTAATACTCTGCACTGAGTAAAAAAAAAACCCCATTAAAATTCTATCAGTTTCTGTAAAAAGCATTTACATTTATCACTAACATAAATCTGTGATAGTTTTGATGAGGCACATGTACAAGAACAGGGACATGAGAATTGAGAATGCTTATTCAAAAATTCACATTTGGGTAAATTAGCCTGTTATTCACACGTCTGAACTTTGTCCCCACCATGATCACTAAAACGCCGTTGCTTCTGATTGGCTGATATGCTTCGCTGGACCTTCAGGTGAGCAGGGGACTGAAGAGTGCTGTTGTTTAAGTCACTACTGGGTCTTGACCTTTGACACAGGTTCCCACTGGACAAGGATTCACCTCCTTCAAACTATAAGACAGACCATCAGGATATTAAAAACACACAAACAATGCTTACATAGACAATATACACTCTTTCCAGTCTATGAAAAGTGATACAAGTATAGTTTTAATACTAGCCTTGGGTAACAGACCTCAAGTTAGCAAGCAGGAAGGGAGAGACTTGGATGTGTAACATGCTTCTACATTATCTTGTACAGATGGTACTTACTATTGGCAAAATAACCAAATAAAAGCTACTCTTTACGGAATGATTATTACATACTAGGTACCAGTGTACATTCTTCACATGTATCACTTTGCAAAAGCCTTTCCTATCTTGGTAAATACACTTTACATAACCAGTGGTCTATACTAGAAATCTGTGGGTATCACTTATCTTTTTAACATGTCACCAGGCACTGTTCTTCCTACCTATCACTTGGGCCACAGGTTCCTCTAATTCCTGGCTGGTTGTAGGTGCCTTCTTCTCAATTGCTTTCACTGCACCCTGTGCAACCTCCTAGTCACAGTAGGCATTAAACTATCTCATATTGCTGGGGTCCACCTCTTTTTTAGACTGAGAGCTCCTTGAGCAAGAGCTTTTTTTCTCTCCTATCTTTTCACAGTACTTAGTATAGTTTGTAGCGTACAGCAAAACCAAGCCATTTGTTGTTCAGTAGACTGACACTCATGACAAATCCATATGTGTTAAGTGTAAAATGTGTTCCACAGAATACAACAACTTGGTATTTGGAAGTTTTTCCTATGATGTCTCAAACCTTCTTGTTTAGTAGTCAAGTACCTTAACCATTTGTATTACCTAAAGAGGCAAATGTCAGCTCAACGGACTACTTTACTAATCACTTTTAACTGTCATTGAGTTGGGAACAATCTATCTGCTTTTCAGCAAGTTTCTTGGTGCTATATACTGTATAGGAGGAGATTTCCAATCTTTCTCCTATGGAATGGCTGGTGAACTCAAATCAACAGAGAAGTGTAGCCTTTGGGTTAGCAGTGAAGCAGCTCTACCGACTATGCAACCAGAGCTCCCTCAGATCACTAACAGTTACGACTTAATTAAACAATATCAGCCTAGCCTTTATAGTATCCACCACAGAAGTGTAATTGTTAGTAAGCTGAAAAGGGCTTTGTGCTTTCTTTATTTTTTTGTCTGTAACCTCTTCTTAAATCCAAATTTATACCCATTATATTTGCTTCCCCAAAGGATCACCTGCTTTCCTGGGTCAACCACTGTGTGAGTCCCAAATCCTTATAACGGATCCTCATTACATAACTCTGTGGAGTCCCTGAGTCATGTAAATGGTTAATACTTGACTATTAATCAAAAAGCTGGTTGTTTTCAGTCAACAAATGGGGTCTTCAGATAAACGTCCTGGAGATGATATTTGGCTCATAAATCAGCCATTGAGAGTCTTGCCACTGAATTGAACAAGTCAGAGTGAGAGACACATTCTGGCACCACTGAAGAGAAAGCAGGACAATGTAGGATGTTCTTCCTGCTCCAGCTACACCTAGGGCAGCAACACCCACAAGCAAACTAGAGACCTTAAATGAAATGGAACCTTGGGGGGAGAGAGCCAATATTGGCAGGACTGAGACCTTTGTTGGACAACTGGGGGTGGGAAGCTAATACTGACAGGACTGAGAACTTGGGGACACCAAGCTGCGAGACCCAAGACTGAGATTTCAGGAAAAAGCACATTTTGGGAGCTGTCTTGACTGTGTTCTGTAATTAATCTAAATTATAATAGTTTTTACTTAAAATAAAAAATCAGCCATTGAAAACCTTATGGGGCACACAGTTCTACTCTGGTACACAGGAGTCATCATAAGTCAGAGCTGACTACACATCCTTAAATAGATCTTCCTTGCCTTGAAAACTCCAAATTAGAAGCTTCAATGCCACCCAACACTCTAAAAGGAAAAATAGAAAACTTTTTCTGGTTTATCACTTATATAAATTATTTTAGACATATTTTGTTGATATGCTGTTGTGTCTCTTAAGTCATTTTTTTTTTTCCTTTTTTCTGCATAACCACAAGGTAGCTGTATTGGATGTGCAGGCAAGCCCAGAAAATAAATGAACCCCTGGAGCCAAGCAAAACAATGGGTCTTTCATAATAAAATACATATGATTATAAGAAATTGAAACATCTTGTGATCTATTATCTCTTGGTACCAAAATTTAAGTTTTTTTTGCTTACCATACTACAAAAACAGTATATTTGCTAATATTATATCTTATTAACATTACTGAGCTGTCACTTAGTGCAATAAGAAATTTGTATTAATTTAAAAAGAAGAAAAACTTACTTCTGGTGGTTTTCTACCTAGAAGGATATAAGTGGCCATAACTTCATCATATTTTTGATTTATTAAGGCATCGTTTATCTCATCTCGAGCAAACCCCATGGTGACCATAATGTCTAGAAAGAAAACAACATGTACATCTTTCAATAAATGGATTTTGGTAAATGAGACTAAAAAAAACAAAAAACCCAAACCAAAACTGGTCCTGCCAACTATTATGAAAACTAAGTCTGAATATATCACTGCATAATCCATAAAGGTTTATGGATTATTAAGATACAAACTCTACATATTGTGCCATTTTGTTAGGTGCCACTGAGTCCACTATGATTTTAGAGACTCTGTGAGTTACAGATTGAGACTCTGCCCTATTCTGCACCATCATCACAATCTATGCCATGCTCATGTCCACTGTTCACGGTCATCAGTTACAGTGTTAATCCATCTCACTCAAGATCGTCCTCTTTTTTTCTGACCCTCTACATGAATGGCCCCTGCTGACAACAAGCTCAAGGTATATGAGACTTTACAAAGGTCATATTTGCTTCTAAGGAGCACCCTGGTAGTATTTCCTCCAAGACAGATTTGTTCCTTCTTCTGGTATTTCATGGCATATTTGAGGGCTTTTGCCATCTGTTCATAATCAAGAGACTGCTCAGTACAATCTCGTCATCATCTGGACAAGTGGAGGTGAATTCATCCTGAGTATATGCATTTCGCAAGAACTGGACGCACTCCCTTAAACTATTCTGGGATGGCGACCTGAACAATGTGGATGGAGTTCTGGCAACAGGTTATAGTTAGCCAGGGTGATCTCATAACCACCCTGAAATTTCGTGAGAGCTGCTTTCATTCTCAGCATTGTCTCATCCACTTCTTCTGGAAGGGGGGAATACCAAGTAATTGTCCAAAACCTTTATAGCTTTGAGAGCCATGTTCTCTAGATTATCACTGAGCGCTGGGTTTGAATTCTCGAAAGGCAGAAAACTTTGCGGATGCATCCAGCCCAGCTGTGCTGGATGCAGGATTCAGAGCTGCCAGCTTGGGGTACCTGGGAGGACAAAGCACAGCCTCCAGGAATTCAATCTTATTGGTATCTGTGTGAACTTTGTACCCATAAAAAAGGAACGATGTCGAATATGTATGAGGATCCAAAGGGGGAGGATGGAGAGCAGAGGGGTTAGGATGGGCAGGTAGAAGTGGTTAATTATAAGGTCACACAATTTGATGGGTGGAGGGAAGGGTGGGTAAAGGAAATGGGAAAGATATGGTGTGAAAAACAATGTATACAAACTTTGAATCAATAGAAAAGAAAAATTTAATTTATATTAAAAAAAAAAAAAAAAGGAACAGGAGCTGCCCTCCTGGGCACAGCTTCGGACCAGTTTCTGTCTACCTCTTGGTGTCAACAGTGGTGATGTTGAAGGTGACTTCTTTGAGTCACATCACCATGAACAATCTCTGGAAGAAGGGGCAGTTCCCAATCTTGCCCCCACTACTGCCAGCTTTCACAAACAGTTCAACTTGTGATTGTTCTTCAGCCATGGTGGAAATGGGGATCTTTTATGATTTAAAAGCATGTGTCAGGAACCTCTTTAAATTACTGAAGATTAATGACATCGGTTTGAGGACTAACGTGTGCCAGATCCAGGCCATGGTCTTTACAATCAATTGTTATGCACCGGAGAACTGGATAATGACAAAACATGGCAGGAAAAGAACTGATGCCTTTGAATTGTGGTGTTGGAAAAGAGTGCTGAGTAGACAATGGAATGCCAAAGAACAAATCGATATGTCTTAGAGAAGGTGCAGCCAGAGTACTCCTAGCAGGCAAAGATGATGAACGAAGCCTTGTCTCATGTAAGTTGGGCATAGGAGAGGTTATTCCTTGGAAAGGTATATCATGCTTGAAAAGGTGGAGGGATTGTGATGGAGAGGAAGACCCTCAAGCAGGTGGACTGACCCAGTGATTGCAGCAATAGGCTTCAGTGTGTCAGAGGTTGTGAGGATCTGGATACAATAGGGTTTAGATATATTATTCCACAGGGTCACTTGCTATGAGGTGTACTTAACTTGAGGGCAACTAACACAACCACTATCAACAACAGTGTTCATTTGCTTTGTTGTGACAACTGCTCCATGATTTATGTATACATAGGCATTAGAATGAGCACAAGTAAATGTTCAAGGACTCCAATTTTTCTCAGTGTGAATCATATTTCATTACACAGTCAAATGCCTTTGCATAGTCAATAAAAAAACAAGTAACATCTTTCTGGTATTCTGTTTGCAGTAAAGACCCATCTGGCAACTGCAATGAATTTATGGCACTTCTTGGTCAATATATTGTTCCCACATTCTCCCCCCCTTAAATAATTCTAAGCAAGATTTTACGTGTTATATTTATTATATTGTTTACTATTGTGGTGCTGGAGAAGAATCTTGGAACATACCATGTATTGCCAAGAAAACAAGAAGGTCTGTCTTGGAGAGATTGAAACTAAGTTTCTCCTTGGAGGCTAGAATTTTGAAGCTCTGTCACACACACTTTGGACACATGTCCAGGAGAGACCAGACTTTGGAGAAGGACAGCATACTTGGAAGGGTGAAGGGAGAAGAAGGGTGCAGGAGAGGAAGACACTAATCTGCTCCTTCCTTCTCACTGGGCTCTTAAGGGAGAAATGAGCACAACTGTAAACTGTCAATGCTTCAGGAAGGGACAAACATGAAGAGAAGAGGTCTGGAAGCAGAATTGGCTGGGCAGAGAGGGCAGATACTGTTAAAATGGTGGAAATAGAAAGAGAAGGCCAAACTGTGTCCCACTTTGAACTCTGTTCCTCTAAATTAAAATACATGGTATTCTTCTGGAGCTCATATTAGCCATATCCTCCTGTGAAGGATCACCGTAAAGAATGCACTTAGTCTATCTAGAGTATCATATCTTTCTGTATCATGGCCACTAAATGGAATTCAAGTTATATATATATGTATGAGAACAAATTAAGGAGCAAGCAATGTGTGCTATTTAATATATATTCAGGAAAAGATAACACCAATATTTTTCATATCAAAACTGTTTTCAATTTATAGTTTTAAACACTTTTTAAGGCAAAAGTACCACTCATATTTAAAGACTTACCTATTCTTTTTGTGTCATTGAAATCTGCCTCAGGTTCCGTATACGGCTTTAGTTCTTCTTCTTCATGACCAACATTCATCCATCGATCTTTCATTATTTGCTAGGAAATAAACTCACATTATGTTTGGCTGGTCAGAACATTCAACCACTTACTTTAACTCTAGTTCAGGAAATGTAAAACGCTTGTTTTAGTCAACAAGAAATCACGTGATATTTTCAAACTGAAATGATGACTTTCAGTTTGATTAAGTCAGTAAGTGATGCTGTGCACACGTATCTTATGACAACTCCTATTGTTATTCAATAAATACACACACACAGCCTGCTTCTCATTCTTCTTTAAGAGGACTATTTTCAGATTTGAAAACTTACTAATTTTAACCTTTCCACACACACACAGCCTGCTTCTCATTCTTCTTTAAGAGGACTATTTTCAGATTTGAAAACTTACTAATTTTAACCTTTCCTTCTTTCATATCTTCAAAGATTAATTAAGAGATTACCCTTTCCCCCCTGGTTTTTTACAAAACACATAACTATGTGTTTTTTTTAAAAAAGATGCTCACTTTAATAAAAGCAAACACTGATGGCCTAGTGGTAGGAAGCTGTGCAGCCATGCCAAAGGAACACAGTCTGAATCCACCATCTTCTCTGTGAGACAAATATAGGCAATCTCTCCCTGTGTGATTAAACTGCTTCTGAAAACCTGCTAGAGAGTCAATTATGGGTCGTTTCCAACTCAACAGTACTCAAAACCAACAACTTAATAATAAACAAGGAGAACATAAAGGCTGGAAATCAGTGGTAGCCTGTCAGTAAAGTAGTTCAGAAATTATTATACTATCATAAGAGCTGTCAAAATTTATGCTGGGAATAGGAGAGAAGCACCAGACCTTGACACCAGAAAGTACCAGAAAGACACTGGAGTAGGAGGCATTTTCCAGGATGAAGAAATAAAATGAGAATGGGAAATAGCTTAAGGTAGAGCTTTGGGAGTCTAGTTTTTAAGAGTTATAAGAAAAAGTCACCCAAAAGAAAATAGAGAAAAGTTTAGATTATGTGACATGGAAGAGAAGCCAAGGGTTTTCTAAAAAGAATGAAGTCGGTGCTGGTAAAATATTGCCAAATAGTTAAATGACAACCAAAGACATAATCTATTTGGTTTATCAATATATAGGAAGGCAGCTGCAGTGGGGTGGTAGGGATGCGAGACAGAAGACAGAGCAGGCAATGAAATGAGAACACAAGTAACTAGTGATCGCACGTTCAAACAACTGTCAAGATGTTTGGCTGAAAAGAAAGGAGTGGGAAGGTGGTATTGGAAGGGGACTGTGGTGCTGTGTAGTGCTGAGGGAAAGGAGTCAATAGAGATGAGAAATGAATGGTATAAAAAGTAAAAATGCACTTAATAATTGAGGTAGTGAGGAGGAGGGTAAAAAAGCACAGTAATGAATGTTAACAACAAAAGAAGAAGGACTTGTGTCTATGCCAAAGGGATGCAGGATGAGATGCACACAGTGATTTTACGGATGCTATAATGGGAAGTGAAAAAGACTTCCATAATTCTGGTTTCTACTTCCTAAGTGGAGTTTTTAAAAGGGAGATCAGCTCTGGTGGCATAGACTGTAGAAGTTACACTGCTTTTCCAAAAGTGGTGCCTCTCTGGAAGTTCAAATTCATCAGCAGCAAAAAAAAAAAACAACAAAAAACAACAACAACAAAAAAAAAATTCATCAGCAGCTCTGTGGAATAAAGATGGGCAATCCTCTCTCAAGCAGTTTAAAGCCTTGGAAACCCACTGGAGGGTCTGCTATGAGTCATTTCTGACTTGACACCAGTAAGAGAGAGGTAAGAGGAGCAAAAGGCGATGATCTGCACACAATGCTCCTCATTTTCTTCTTCCACTTAAATTCTATCTTATAAAAAAGCCCCTACTCTCATAGCTCTTTCATAGCAGCCTGGTATTTACTTATAGTATTTGTTACTAAGTAATCATTTTGTGTTTGCTTGTTAATTATATATAGTTATGTCAAGAAGACAAACATTCTCGCCACTGGACCAATTAGCAGCGTCAGGATGGATGACGAAGAGATTGAGAGTGTTCACAGCTTCAGTTTGCTCGGCTCCACAGTCAACACTCTTGGTACCAGCAGTCAGGAAATCAAAAAGCGTTTCGCGATGGGAAGGTCTGCTGTTAGGGACCTCTCTAAGGTACTCAGGAGCAACAGTGTCTCTCTGGAGACTAAGGTGTGCCTGATACAGGTCATGGTATTTGCAATTGCTTGTTATGCATCAGAGAGTTGGACAATGACTAGGGAGGACAGAAGGAGAGTGGATGCTTTTGAGAGGATTAAACCAAGCTGCTCCTTGGAGGCAAGGATTCTGGGGCTTCATCTGACATACTTTGGACATGTTGCCAGGAGGGACGGGTCCTTGGAGAGGGACATCATGCTTGGGAAGGTGGAGGGACAGCGCAGGAGGGGAAGACCCTCTATGAGATGGATTGATTCGGTGACTGGGGTAATCGGGATGGGTGTGTCAGAGGCGGTGCAGTTGGCGCAGGATAGAGCAGGGTTTAGGGCTGTTGTGCATAGGGTCGCTATGAGTCGGAAACGACTCGACGGCACATAAGAACAACAACAACAACAACAACAACAACAACATTAATATATCACAAACAGTAATGAAGAAAAAGTCACATCTAATTTGTTGGATTTACCCAAAATACAGGTGCTCGATACTTAAACCTCTAGCTGGAATCACTCATTTGTCCTTTATGTTGCAAGAATATCTGTTTCAATCCCAGTGTTGCTACTATCACATTCAACATTACAGCTAGTTGTGTCTAGGCTGATCTCCTTCACTCTATTTAAAATCCTTGGGCACAAGTACTATGCCCTCAGCACAAGCACTTATTATTTTTGAACAGAGCAATGTTCTAAAAAAAGGCTGCTACAGAAGGCCTGAGTGAGAGAGATCACAGAGAAGAGATTAGTAGCAAGAAAGTACCTTAGGAAATTGTTAAAGAGTATCTAGGAGTTAGACAACAGAGGGTGGATTAAACTAAAAGAAAAAAAAATCTATAGGGTATACTCTATAGAACTTGATGACAAAACTCACTTTGGGAATGAGAGAATAGATGGATCCCAAGAGGCTTCTGAGGATTGCAATGCAGAAGACTGGGAGATATGGATTCTAAGGGTTAAGCAAGAAATGTAAGAGTGATTTGATAATTGGTAAGACAAAGTGAAATAACACAATTTTCTCATATTTCTCAATTAAACTGTTTATTTTTATTATCATTTCCTAAGGTCAAACAGAGGCTGGGATGTGACTGGCTGGAGTTGGGCGTCTCACACGAAAGCTGCCAGACCCCGCAGACCTCCCCATCTTCCCAGGTAATCGGAGACACCAGGAGCAAGTGACATCCGTTCCGGCCCTTGGGCCAAGAAAAACCCATCTACATAGCAATTCTACAGGATGCATCACCTTTGACCGATAAATATTGC